ATAAAATGGTAAATTTAGAAAATCAGAAAAAGGAAAAAAAAACACCTTTCAGAGCTGATATAATGCATTCTCAATCATGTTATTTTTCTGTTTTTAGAAATAACAGTTTTTCGGTCATTTTTATTTATTTATTTTAAGTTTATTAAACTACGATAAATATCACTATTGTGCAATAAAAATAGAAGAAAATTAATTTCAATAACATAAAGACAATGATGATCTTAAAGAACCAATATTAAAATGTACTTCCTAAAAGTCAAAAGGATGATCGAAAATACAAAAACAAATTTTTTATTTCAATATACTTTATTTCTTTCTTTCATTGACTGGGATTTTCTTAAGAAATTAAAGGTTGAATTTCATTTTTGAATAAAAACAAAGTTGTTTAAAAGCAAAAAGAATTCAAAATTTTGCAATTAAAAAAAATTAAATACGTAATATAAATCCACACACAAACAATAAAATCATGACCTAGTATACTATATAAATGTATTTGATATACGGACATAATAAAAACACTTATTGTACTAACAACTATATAAAACAATTCAGACAGTACATAATGTATAATTATTAAAGCATTAAATAATTTGATGAAATGAAAACATTTGCTTACCTCCTTCAAAAATTTATTTTAAGTTTTTTTGTTATTGAACGAGAAGCTTTATTAAGAATTGGAATTATTGATGAATGGCATGATTTATGTTAAAAAGAACTATTGCAAATAATTTATCAAACTGATGTAAAAAAATAATAATAATTTAAAACAATGAAACAAAATAAAAAAATGCCTTAATTTAAAATCGATAACTAAAATTATGTAATTAAATGAGGTAAAAAAGAAGACAAAGGAGCAAAAGGCCATAAAAATGAAAATTTAGGAGGCAAAGAAGCAAAAGTACTTTTATCCATAGTGTAACATGAGGTGGCTGTTTTTGAGGAGTCAAATAACTGTCTTTGTGGGTGGCTTGGAAAACCAGAATTATATGCCAAAGTGGGGGGAAAGGAAACTGCTGAAAATCAAGGGAGGTCTTGAAACCAATTTTTATCAGTGAAGGTTGCATTTTATTACTCTTTCCAGGGAAGGGTAAAAGAGATGACGTTGAGATGAGATTTTCGCATAATTTTATAGAAGATTACCATATATAAAAAAATCTTTGTCTTAAGAAAGACAGTTTTTTTTCTAAAACTACCAATTTAACTTAATTTTATTTTCATGAATGTTTAAATTTCAAAAATAGCTTTAAAGTAGAAAAAAATAGTACTTTTTTTCCAAAAGTTACCAATTTAACTTGACTTCATTCTCACAAAAGTCTAAATTTCAGAAGGGGCTAAAAACACTATTCGCCTTCCCCCCAATTAAATTTCAGAAGAAAAAAATGTTTTTATAAAAACTTTAATGTTAAAAAAAGTTTTTTTTCTTCTAAAATTACCAATTTAACTTAACTTTATTTTCAAGAATAGCTAAATTTCAGAAGGAGCGAAGCACATCATTTGCCCCCAACTTAAATTCACAGTAAAATAAAGTTTCAGACTTCGAAAATAACTTTAAAGTAGAAAAAGAAATGGTTCTTTTATTCTAAAGTTATCAATTTATTTTGACATTATTTTCACGAACGACTAAATTTCAGAAGGGGCGAAGCACATTATTTACCCCCCTCAATTTAAATTCACAGTAAAATAAAGTTTTTGATTTCGAAAATAGCTTAAAAGTAGAAAAAAAGAGTTTTTTTTTTCTAAAGTTACCAATAGAACTTAACTTTATTTTCAAGAATTGTTAAATTTCAGAAGAAGCGAAGTACATTATTTGCCCCCAACTTAAATTCACAGTAAATAAAGTTTTTGATTTCGAAAATAATTTTAAAGTCGAAAAAGAAATGGATCTTTCTTTTCTGCTTAAAGTTACCAATTTAACTTGACTTCATTCTCATGAATGTCTAAATTTCAGAAGTACACTATTTGCCTCTTCAATTAAATTTAAGACAAAATTGAAAAAAAAAGAATGTTTTTTCCTAAAATTACCAATTTTATTTGGATTTATTTCTTGATTCATATTTATTATAACCTCTTACTTTAATTTCAGAAGAAAATGAGGTTTTCTACTTGGAAAATAGCTATGAAGTTCAATTAAAAAGTTTATTTTTTTACTATTTTTTAATCAGAATTTTACTTGATTTTATTTTCTTCAATGTTCACATTTCAGGAGGGGCGAAATACATTGTTTGCCCTTGAAATACATACTTGCCCCCTCTGCCCCCCTCCCCTGCTAGCACGCCACTGATGATGAAGCTTTATGATTGTTTACTGCTTTGGACCCACATGAAAATATTTAATTGGTGAAAGATCCTCAAGCCAAGTTCAAGGATTGTGATACTATCTAAAAATAGAACAGTGTAAAAAGACGTCATGGGCAATGTAACGATGCTATGTAAACAATGCAGATGATGTAAACAATTTCAGTGAAGAAATTTTCAAGAAAAAATAATTTTATTTGCTAGTGAGATTCTCAGTTTGATTTCAAAGGGTGGGAAGAATGAAGCCTGATATCAGAAGCCTCTTGCAAAATGCGAAGAATCTGAACCATGTGAAGTGTGAACCCATGAGTAGTTCACCCAACATGTAAAACTCATGTAAATGCTACTCATCCTGAAAATACAAAATTTGAGTTCTATCAGTCAGGGTTTCTGAGTTATTATATTTTAAAAAAGTCATAAATCAAAAATGTGATTTTTCAAGATAAAATTTGTTTGATATCGTTCAAATTTTATCCATTCAAAATTAAATTTTTTAAAATGATTATTTTTGTACCTTAAAGCTTAAATATTTTTTGACTTGTATTAAATTAAACAATAAAAAAATTATAAATAATTACAAAAAATTATTTTTTTCATGGAATTAATTCTATTTGAATAAAAAAAAATTATAAGTGCGTGAAAATTTTTTTGAATGCCTGAAAAATTCCATGAACATTAACGAGTTAAAACTTTTGACGTTTCTCCTGACCAAACTTTAGGGACCATATTTTCCAATTGCAGCTACTCCCATATTTTGAGAGTCAAGAATCAGAATTTTTTCCAAAAAAAAGGTATGTTTATTCAGGGAAAGAATGTTCTTCTATCTGATTTCATAACTTTAAATATTGTCTCCTCTCACATTTATGATAAGGCTTGAACACTTAAGTCCTAGTGTACATGAAAATCACATCATTAGATCAAAAATTATTCAGGGTGTTCTTTTTTATTTCACGCACTCTACTTTTAAACAGGTTAGTTAATTGAACTAAATTGTTGCAATAAAAATATACTACACCAACTTGTAACTGTTTAACAAACAGAAGAGTTTGAAATTACTGAAATAAAATTAGGACTTGAAATAAAATCTTTAGAACTAGGTACATGAATTGAGCTGTATGAGAAAATGGAAATCTTAGTTATTAATGCAAAATTTTAATACTAAGAACATGTTAAAATTTATTTAAAAGTATTGTTTTGAAAACTAAATACAAACAAATTCACTTAAATAAATAAACCCAGTTGTGTTAAATGTTTTTTTAATTTCCCCTTTCGCTTTTTAGTACAAAAAAGCAAAATGGGAAAATAATAAAGCCTGTTAAGAAGGATTTTCTTCTTTTTAATATCAACATGTTAAGATTTCTAATTTTATAATCGGCCTTGAACAGCTGACCCAATTTTGGGTTTACGACTACTTAAGTTCAACTCTGTAGCCTTATAATTTTGAACCCAATCCAGAAGACAAGGTAATTTCTGGATAAAGTATTTGGACTGTGGTGACCCATAACTATTCTCCCTTTCCTTTATGCGTCAATCACAATTTTCACGAAGTGAAACTTTTAATTTGAAACTGAAACCCAAAATTGGGAACTGAAACTAAAATCTGTCTATCAAAATTCTAATCCAATAATATAATTTCTCAAATTAAATCTAGCCAATCATTGCACATTAAAGGTGTGGCTAATTCATTTCTCTGGTGAGATCCGAACCGAACACAGCATCTTTTCTCTGCTAAAACTCATTGCAAACGGACGTGTAGTCCTATCTCTCTATAATCTTATTATTTTGTCGTAGCGTATATGTTTGTGATGTGGTTAATAAAATTTTAATGTTTAACCTGTAAACCTTCTGATACTTTAAGTGTACCTACACACCACAATACCATAGGACAAATTTGCCATCATGGAGGACTTTTTGATGGAACTAACATACATTTGCATTACATGAAGAGGAAAAACATGAAAACCTCGCAGAGTTAGCCTGACAGCAAGGAGACTCTAACCCATGATTTGTCAACCACTGAGAATATTTTTTTGTCAGAACTGTCGTCAGTGCGAGCTGATTGCGAAACTTGTATTGACCAAACATTGCTGAGAGTCAAACCCGGGTCATCTCATTAGAGGTGAGCGCTTTATCCCCTGAGCCACCATGGCTGAAAGCTAATGAAGATTTTAAAAAAAGTATTTTCAAATTGAAAGAGATAAAAAACTTAATGCAATGATGTATTTAGGTAACATTTTTCAAAAGTGTATTTGGCAGATTTTTAATCTGGATAACTCAAATATAACACACGCAATTTAGTGTAGAAAATATGTATACTTTAAGAGATTTTCAAAGACAACACATAAAAGCATTGCAAAAATCTAGCTAGTAATGAAAATTCAACAGAGTGATGAGCTGCTATTTTTAATATTTAATATAGAAAACAAAAAGCCTGATAGTTTAAACAATAGTTGCAGTTTGTACGTAAAATATTATATGCATAATAAAACATAGATAATGTGTATAAGTACATTAATTCGCATAATTTAGATTTTCTTTTTTTACTCTCATATGAATGAAGGAAAAAGGTAAAAATAAATCTGGTTTTCAGAATAATGCAAGCAATAAATAGTGCTATACTGAATTCAGAAAACAGAATATAAGGTTTTGGAATTAAATACTTATTGATATTGCACTCAAGAAATATATAAGTCATTTTAAACTTACTTGAAGTCCAGAATAAACAGATGAGAGAAGAGATGTCACCAGTAAAACTCTTCTTATGCTTGTTTGACTATCAAGATGCCCTAAAGAAACAAGTAGGAAATGCGTATAGAAAAAAAATTATGCAAAAGAATGTAATGAAACTGACTATGCTTAACAAAATAACTTGGCACAATTTTAAAAGCTGTAGAATGTTATGTTGAACAAAAGAAAAAAAACTGCTCTATGATTTTTAGGAATTTCAATAAGTGGGGGATTTTTAATTTTCAAACTTAAGAAAACTTTGAATTCAGTTTTGTGTGCTTAAAGTGTCAATTAAAATTCTTTGTATAAAGTATTCCACTTTGAAGGCGACAATTTTTTGAACAATGTGTAACTAACCAATTTGATTTAATTTTTGTTCATGTTGGTCAGAAAATGTTAATAATAATTTTTGGTGTATATTATGTAATGAAATTACTAAACTTTATTCTATTTTATATAATCATAATTTAATTAATAATAAGTCACGAAATATGTTATTTTTATATTAAATTTTAAAAAAAAAATAATTAAAAAAAATTTGTCAATCAGAAATAGATAACTTGTTATGATTTGTGAAACATAAAGAAAAATGCAAGAATATCCAACTTGATAAAAAGCAAAAATAATATACTTTGTATTTAAAAAAGAAAATAAATCCTAATAATTAATGTTAAGATTGAATAATAATTTTATTTAATGATTATATTAGGCATGATTCCTTTAAAGTTGAATTGTGATTAAATCAGTAGAACATAAAATTATTGAAAAAATAATTAAAAGTTCATATTTAAGAATTTTGATAAATAAGTATCATTAATCAATAATTCTTCAGTATAAAAGTCAGTAATTTTGAAAAAAAGGACTGACAAACTTTAAAGAGCCTCGGCTTTCTCTCAGTTTCACTATAAAATATCACAAATATGTAAAATTGCATTATATTAAGTCTGTGATGAAAAAAATTGATAAATGAGTCATTTAAGTCTTGAAGAGTTGACACAATCAATTAAGAGCATGACTAACTGAGAAAACCGTTAAACTTCTAATGATTCATTCTGACCTCCATGTTGGTTAAAACAAGGTAAGCCACACATATAATCTTCTGTATTCAATCTTAAACTGTTTTATAAAATGAACTGAATTCATTTACTTGAAAACTGATGTAAAATCTTCCAATAAAGCTAAGTACAGTAGAGAACCATTTATTCGGTATCCAGATAATCGGGAAAAATTTTGTTTGGTTTTCCCGCCATTTTAAACTCGAACGATTATGGAAAAAAAGCGGAAATTGGACTCATCCTTGAAGTTGAGTAGAGGAAAATTTGAGAAAGGGGAGAATTTTCCCCCCTGTTTACCCAGAGAAACGTCATTTCTTCCATGATCTTGAGGATCTTTAGATTGAGAGGAGGCAGGGAAGGGACGAATGTTTTATTTTCTCCTTTAGGCCGTCAATCATACTCAAAGGAGTGGCATGATGATTTCATTTTCGCTTTGATTTACGAGGGGGTGGGGGAAAATGCATTGCACATGCATATCAGTGAACAGAAGATGAAAGAGAAAAGTATATTTATCTATTTGACATCGCTTAATAAAAATAAAATCTTTTTCCTTTGAATAAATTCTGATTCTTTGGAAGTGCGGTATCATTTGCAAGTTTTTCTTGATGTGGAATCACATCCGCTTTAATTAAAAATCGTGTTTTTATAATAAAAAAAAATTAAGAGAATTGTTTATTAACATACGACTATTTTATGAAGCAGATTGCAGTTTTGTTTTTCTGATTCCACTATGTTTGTCTTCTTTTCACGATAAACTTCGCATTCAATAAATTAATTCATTTTATTCATAAATTTTATCATTAGGTTTTTCTTTAAAATTCCGTTGATCTTGCTTTGTTCCGGGTTTTAATATTTATGCTAGTGCCGTTTTTAACTATCATTTTGGTTCGATAAGTTTTATTGTTTTATTCAGATTAATAAGTTTTTATTTTATCGTTCCCTCCCTTATAATTAGGTATAGAATATATTGTGTTATTTAATCATTGGTTTTGTTTATATAAGTTAATTAATGAATTGTAATTATTTTTAAAAAATAAGTATGAGAATTTTGTATTTTTTAAACTTGTTTTTCTTGTCTAACTTGTAAATTTTTTTTCCTTTTAAATGTTATTTTTCTACCAAATATTTTTTTCTTTTAAATTTAGGAGTGCTTTTTTTTCTTCTCTTACCTTAAAATGTGTTACACTTTTTCCTTGAATTTCGGGTTCGATAAAACATCGATTAATGACACTTTTCGGTCAATCCAGAAAACATGGAAATTCAGACATCCGGGATAGCGATGGTCCTGAGCATCCCGGATAATTGGTTCTATACTGTACTTCTCTTGCTTATAATTGTCAATAACTTTGCTTTCTAATGAGGATTGCAATTTTTGTGTGCCTTGCATGAAGTTAAATATTATATTGAGTTGTTTAGATTTTTATTAAAGGTTTAGTTTTTAATCACGAGAGTCTTTAAATTTATCTTTAGTAAAATCTTTCTGCTAAATTATATCACAAAAATAAAGCAAATCCAAAAACCCATTAACACTAAGATGATCAATCTGATTAATAAAACCAAAAATTTTAAATTATAAAAAAAAATTTCTTCTTATAGTTTCTTAATTTAAGTAAAAGCCTAAAGCAATTTTTACTTGTGCACAATTATCTAACCTTAATATTTTCAAACTGATAAAGATCAATTGTTGAAACAGATATAACAATAAGACTTTTTCTACGCATTTAACTCAATCAATTATGGATAGATTATATACTTCTTGGTTAATAAATTACACAACTTATTGACTCAGTTTCAAGAAGCTACAAGAGACAGAAAAAGAGGGTAATTCATTGTAAAGATATTAATTAAAAGGGATATTGTTTCGTTATATATATTGAACATATTAATATCTCTCTATATAAGTAAATAAATGTAAATAACTCACCAAATGCTAGACCAAAAATCAGAACACTGATTTCAGTAGCAAGTAAGAAACATCGTACAATGACCCATAAAATCTTAAAGAAAAAAAATTTATTATGAACTCAAATTTTTAAATACATCATTTATTTTAGAAAAATATATTTATTTAATCCTAATACAGTGCCCGCCGCTAATAAAATCAGCCGCTTTATAAACTCAAATTGGCAGGAACCGAATCGTTACAATATTAATACATGTTAAAAACAACCTTTAATAAAATCAATGCCGCCGCTTTTTCAAATCAAAATTTTGACTACATAATAAATCAAAAGTGCAATATTTCAGTTCGTTTTGTTCTTAGTTGTAAATTTTATTCTTCCGAAGTTTAAAGATTTTTTTAGAAGAAGCGACAGTTACTCACAAACCTGTGAAACAGGTGTGGTTAGCACTTTCCTGCGATATACATAGTGTAAGAGTTAAGGAAAAATGTGGGTGGTAGGCGGCGAGTTCATAGAAATCAATTTATCAGTATTAATTCCTTGACTTGAATGAAGTTTGGAGAAACCTATCTCACTCAAGAGGGGGTCGAATTCTTATCTTACTTTTTATTGAATAAACCATAGAGGGGAGAGAAGTTTCTTTTGTTATCTATCTTAACAGAGAACATGAATAGATTTCCAAAAACTGTCTGTGCTCATGTTTCATATTATTTAAGCTGTTTGAGTAAATTATAGTTAGAGTTAGAGCACATATCATTTTTAAGTTCGTTTGGTGTTAAATTTTATCAGCATGCCGAAAAGGAAGGATTCGAGTCTTAAAGATAAATTCTAAGTGTTACAAAACTATGATAAGCTTCCAACTTGAAGCTTCAATGGAGATGGAGATGGGGCTGATAACTGTTTCGAAGAAATGCTCAGCAATGAAGAAAATGAAATGAACGAGAATTTTTCACGTTACGTAGCTATTGACGATAACCTGCAAACATCAGGAGAAAAATCTGATTCCGAAATTGCTACAGACATCAAAAATTGCAAAGTTATTTCCAATCAAGAAATGGAGGAATCAGACTCAGAAGATGAAATAAACTCATCAGTGCCATCTTCAATGGAAGTCAGAAAAGCACTTAGTGTATTGCGGCAAGCTTTAGAACAAAGAGGAGGAATATCGAAAACTATAAAAACTTCTATAAACTCTCAAATGATGTTGAAAAGTTAATTTCAAATACTGCAACTCAAACAACCGTTGATCGGATTTTTGCAAAACTTTTGTAAATTTAATCTTATGTAGGGTTTTACTTTATTAAAATAATTAAATTAGTTAAAATAAAGCATTAATGTTGTCATTATTTCAGCTTTTAAAGTGTGTGCATTAAGAATATATATAGCAAAAATTTGATTCCCCCCCCCCTTCAAATGGTGAATCGCCTCTTAATAAAATCATCTGCTTAATAAAATCAAAAGAGCATAAAACGAAAGTGATTTTAATAAACGGCGGACACTGTACAACAAAAACACAAATTGACATTAAAAAAAATTGAATTGAGGATGCAAAAACTATCAAAATTAATTGTTTTTTTTAATTTGAAAATTACAGTAAAAATATAGAAATGTAATTGAGTGTATAGTCTGTTCAACGAGAACTGATAGTGAAAGTAAACAAAGCGGCGTGCTATTTGGCACAATACCGTTGTCTGCTTGGCGCCAGAATAATGACAAATAGCGCCTATTAGTCAAGCAAAAACTCTTATTTCTTAGAGGGCTGTTTGTTTTGCCGTGGTGTCTTTTTGCAGGTGTTTCATGAGCAATATGGAAAATAAAGTGATGGATTTAAGTCCTCGTAAAAAATGGCAGAAAAAATCTTACATAAGTAAAGCTGAGAAGGAAATAATATTAAACATTTATAAAACAGAAGTGCATTCAAAACCAGATGTTCCAATCATTGATGTGACTGCCCATGCGGCTTCTGCATCGGGAGTTAGCACAGCTTCTGTTTACAGAATTATTAAAGAATATAAAAGGGATGGTATATTAAATTCATCGAAGAGGATTAAATCTTGTAAAACTTTTTTGGATGACATTGACGATTTCGACAAAAATGCTGTAAGAAGAAAAGTTCATGATATTTTCCGCCCTAACGAAATTCCGACAATAAACAAAGATGATTCTGATTTACCAAACTTGAAAAGAACGACATTTTATTCCCTGTTTAAAAAAATTAGGCTTCAAACATCAAAAACGAAGACAGAAGAGCTCACTCATTGAAAAAGATGAAATAATTCTCTGGAGGCGAAGATATTTAAGAACAATTAGCAGAATGAGACAAGAAGAAAGAAAAATTTATTATATGGATGAGACACGGTTGAATGGTGGACATACGCAAGACAAAGTGTGGAATGATATGTCCATTATCTCGTCAAAACAGGCATTTTTATCTGGCCTGTCTTTATCAGGCATTTTATCTCAGGCATTTTATCTTTTATCTAAATATCAATTCCAACGACCAGGATTCTACAAGTTCTGAGAGTGAATCCTGAGATAAGTACCTAGTTTGATTTTTGCTTTTTAATTATATAATTATTCGTTATTATCCCTGATTAATTCATCATTAGTATAGTAATTCTTAAAATTTTGTTCTTTTCTGCGTAGTTTAACATAATTATTTTTATTTTGGTACAGCTGTTAATTAATTACAGAAATTCAAATGCTACGTAAAATTAGATAATTTTGATACTTCATTCTATTTTCAAAAACCTATTGAATTCGAGGTTTACAAACTTTTTTTTATAGCTTAAGTGGGTATATTTTTCTTAACAAAAGATTTTGTGAGACATATAAAAAAGTCTTCTAGTTTCTGTTAGTGTAATTATTTTCGTAATACTTCCCTTCGAAAAATAAAGATAACAGTATCAAATATAACAACAGTAAACTTCAAATATATTTTCAAATCAATAGGTGAAACATAAAACTATTTTAAATATTATTTAACTTTTAATAAATTTTAAAAAAAAATTGTAATTAAGAAAATAAAGAGTATTTTTTTTAACATACTCATTCAATTCTATACGACTATTATGATGAAATTATAAAAGTTATGTTTTGCATAGATATTTATGCAAAATATATTAAAACTAATTTAATTTAAACTTAAAAAAAAAACATTAAAACTATTCTCAAAATAAAATTACATGTTTACTGAAACAATTAGAAACATATTTTCATGCAAATATTTTAATTTTGCACTTTCTTATCTAATTTTAAGGTATCCAAAACCGAGTATGGATATCGTTTTTCTATAAGAGCGAAAGCTCTGTCGATTGAAACAAAATCGCCCATTCACGGAAGGAGCCGTTGAAGTGGCAAACGTTGGCGATCAAACAGCAGCCCTTATGTTTACCTCCACTATCAGTTCTCGTTGAACAGACTATAGTGTTGCTACAACTCTCTTTCCTTTTCATGAGTATCAGTCAGCCTATTTCTGCCCAAACTGTCTGACTGCTTGAGGTAGCCTCTCTGTGAATAAATTAAGTAGTTTTGGTCTGCCAATTTTTGGTTAAGAAAGAAAAAACCTGAGAAGAGGGGCAGGACAGAGGTGAAGAAGAGAGAGTTAAGACATGGAGCTCTAAAGTAGCAACCACCGAATGAGCTAGGGATAGAAAAATGACGTCATTTTGACGTCACGTTTCTACCCCTAGGGAAAACCTGAAACCTCGCGCTTTCGAACGGATTTTGCTAATGGGCTACAATCTTCATTTTTCCTCTCATCTATCGGATGTATTTCATCTAATAATTTGCTGGTGATAGCGATTCGAACAGGATGTGCAGACGTGCCAACCTAGCAAAATTAACATTCAGGAGTTTCCCTAACAAGAATTCAGGAGATTTCAGGTGGGGTAAAAAAAGGTGCATGGTATGCAACATTTGGCACTTCTAAGGAATTTTAAGTAAAAAATTTATTAAATATAAGAATGCAAGAAATTTTACACACTAATAGAGCAATAATTGTTTAAAAATATTAAATGGAAATAAAATAATTAAACACAGATTTAGCAACACAAAACTATATTAGGTAGATACTCTTTAAATAAATACCATTTCCTTAATAAAACATTATTCAAAAACCCGACACTGTAATAAAAATACACAAAAACTTTTAAAAAATAAACAAATTGAATAAGTATTTTATTTTAAAAAACCAATTCAATACTAATGTCTGTACAATAAAGAACCAATTATCCGGGATGCTCGGGACCATCGCTATCCCGGATGTCTTAATTTCCCGGTTTCCTGGATCGACAAAAAAGTGTCGTTAATCGATGTTTTATCAAACCCAAATTACAAGGAAAAAATGTAAACACATTTTAAAGTAAGAGAAAAAAGAAAAGCACTCCTAAATCTAAAAAGGAAAAAAATTGTAGAAAAATAAAATTTAAAAGAATAAAAAAATTTGCAAGTTTAGACAAGAAAAACAAGTTTAAAAAATAATTACGATTCCTAAATCAACTAATAAACAAAACCAATGATTAAATAACGCAATATATTTCATGGGGGGGGGGGCGAAAATAAAAGGAAAACCTATTAATCTAAATAAAAACAACACTTGAAAATTATCGAACCGAAACGATAGTTAAAAAACGGCACTAGCATAAATATTAAAACCTAGAACAAGGCAAGATCAACGGACTTAAAAAAAAAAAAAAACTAATGAAAAAATTTGGTAATACAAATAATTTTATTGAGTGCAAAATTTATCATGAAAAAGAAAAAAAAAACGTAGTGGAATCAGAAAAACGAAACTGCAATCTGCTTCATAAAATAATTGTATGCTTAAATTAATAAACAATTCTCCTTTTTTTTTTTTTTTATAAAAACGCGATTTTTAATTAAAGCAGGTGTGATTCCACATCAAGAAAAACTTGCGAATGATACCGCACTTCCAAAGAATCAGAATTTATTCAAAAGAAAAACATTTTATTTTTATTAATCGATGTCAAATAGATAAATATATTTTTCTCTTTCATCTTCTGTTCACTGATATGCATGTGCAATGCATTTTCCCCACCCCCTCGTAAATCAAACTAGCAAACGAAATCATCATG